TTGGAGTAGGTTGGATAGTTTGGCTTGGTAGTCAAATGTGTTCATCACCACACTGGCATTACCTTTGTCTGCTGGGAGAATGATATGAACCTACCTGTCCAGAATTCATTAATTCAAAACAAAACTTCCAGGTCACAGTTTTAAATGTCCCACCAGGAATCAGTCCAATCAGTTTAAATTCACCAGGAAGTTAACCACACCTCTTCAACTCACTTTTATATGTTCAGTGACATTCAAAGGTCTCTTAACTAAAATTCTTAATTAATAATCAAATCTGTAGTAGTCTTAAAGTAGATCCATGTCCAGTAAATATTTTCAGTCTTTTAAAATGATTATTCCCAAATTGCATAGTTCCCTTTTTATCAGCAGATGGCACTCTTGCTTCAGTCAGCTACAGCCTCTCTGCAGTATTGTTGATAATTCTGATTTCAATTTTTTTAAAGTTGTAAATCCAATAATTACAATATTAGTAAAAAGAAATTTGGGACTTTAGTTCCAACGTTTTAAAATATTCTCAGTACAAGGTCTTTTAACTTTGAGATATCCAAATTTCTATTAATTTTAAAAAGTAATTTTTTCCCTTCTTAAACTCTCCAGTATTTTATCCAGTGCCGCTTCAACAAATAGTCCTAAATATACTTCCTCCTTAAATTTCTTAGGGTCAGATTCCAGCAAACAATATTCTCTCACCCAGTTCACACACCATTCATTTTCTCCACCCCAGCACAGTCTTGGGTATTCAGGCTGTCCCCGGCTTCATGGCAGCCATTTTTTGCTGCCACTGCTCTCTGTCTTCAGATGAGGAGACTTTCCGAGTCAGGGAGGAGAGATGCAGCTCTCCTCGACCTGCACGGCGGTCCCCCTTTTGTTCACCACTCCTCCAGCATGCCTATGGCTCAATGAGCCGAGGTGGCGCAGTGGTTAGAGTGCAGTACTGCAGGCCACTTCAACTGACTGCTAACTGCAGTTCAGCTGTTCAAATCTCACCGGCTCAAGGTTGACTCAGCCTTCCATCCTTCCGAGGTGGGTAAAATGACCCAGATTGTGGGGGCAATATGCTGACTCTGTAAACCGCTTAGAGAGGGCTGAAAGCCCTATGAAGCGGTATATAAGTCTAACTGCTATTGTTATTGCTAATTTGAGCCCTCCGATGGAGAGAGATCGGAAGGCGCCGGAAGTACAACTGGAAGTCCACCATCCAAATACATTGATTGGGTTCGGTTTTTATGCAGAGGTCAGGGTGTTTGTTTTGTTTTGTTTTGTTTTTTTCAATTTCTAAACTCCAACGGTGCAAATCCAAAGGTGCTAATGTTATTGAGACCCTGCTTTGTTTAATAAAAGTTCCCCTTTTGTTAAACATCTCTCAGAAGAAATTTGAGAGGAGATCAAAAGAGCATGAGAAGTTAAGCGGGGTCTTTTAGTGGGAACTACAGGTAATCCTCGACTTACAACAGTTCATTTAGTGACCGTTCAAAATGAGAACAGCCCTGAAAAATGTGACTTATGACCATTTTTCACACTTACAACCTTTGTAGCTGTAAGGTCTTGCCTCCAAACTTCCCAAGAAAGCAGGACTCTTGAAACTGCAGTTGTTCCAAAAGGAGCTTTTATTGAAGGTTTGTGATAATGAGATCTAGGCAAGAACTGAAGCTTCTCACTTAAAACTAGCTATTTAAAGCAATGCTAACCAACCCCCTCCCACACTACATCATTTCAGGGAAACAGAAACTTCATATAGATATTAGCACAGTAATGCAGGAAACAGAAACTTCATATACAGATCACTCCATTCCTCCCCTCTTCCTCCCACCAAAATGCCTGTAGAAATATCTGGGACCTGACATGCCATCCACCTAGAAAAACAGGAAGTCCACCTGAAAGAAAACAAAAGAGGGAAGGGGACACAAAGGAAACAGAAAATCAACGAGGTTTGTCAGGGTACAATTGACGAAATATATGTACTAATTTAGGGGCATGCACATGTTTTTTGTGAACCCATTCATTGTGTGAGAAGGGGCGGTGTTTCCAAGCCACCAGATACTGAATGGTCCCGTGGAATTTCCTAGAGTCAAGACTTTCCTGAACCGGAACAGTTCAGGAACAGTTCAGGGTGGAACAGGGGTAGTAGCCGGACAAAGATCAGAGGTGACTTCAGGCTTCAATAAGCTACAATGGAAAATGGGGTGGACTTGCCGTAATGACTTAGGGAGCACCGTGACAGGGTTAATAATATGAACTATGGGGAAAGGCCCAATATATTTAGGACCCAACTTTTTAGACTGCTGCAAAGATTTTAGAAACTGGTGGAAAGGTAAACTTTGTCCCCCACTTAGGTTCTGTTTGTTTCTTGTCTGCTTGTGCTTTATAGGCAGCCTTGGCTTCATTCAAAGCTTTGTGGACCATCGACCAAATATTTTACAAATGACTGATACAGTTTCAAGGAGGGTATATCTGGTTCATGTGAGGGTAACTCAGGCATANCTACTGCTATTGCTATTGCTATTGCTATTATAAGGTTTAGGTTCTGTTTGTTTCTTGTCTGCTTGTGCTTTATAGGCAGCCTTGGCTTCATTCAAGGCTTTGCGGACCACCGGCCAAATGTTTTGCAAATGACTGATCCACTGTTTCAAGGAGGGTATATCTGGTTCATGTGATGGTAACTCACGCATAGCATTAAATTCTTGCCCTGTGGCCACTCTGAAAGGGGTAAAACCTGTGCTAGCATGAACTGCATTATTATAGGCTACTTCTGCAAAAGATAGTAGTTCGGTCCAGTTGTCCTGCTGGTAATTAATAAAACAGCACAGGTACTGTTCCAGAACTGAGTTCGTTCGTTCCGTGGCCCCGTTTGTCTGCAGATGATGACTAGAACTAAGTCCCTGCTCAGTCCCAAGTAGATTCAAAAAAGCTTTCCAGAACTTGGACGTGAATTGAACCATCTGTCCAAAATAATATGTCATGGAGCCCCATGCAAGCAGTAAATGTGAACCAAAAACAGTTTAGCCAGCGCTTTAGCCGTAGGGCTTTTTTGGCATAGTATGAAATGAACTTGTTTTGAGAAAAGATCTGTGACAACCCAGATCACTGTGTTTCCAGAACTCTCAGGCAATTCAACAATGAAATCCATGGAGATCTCTCTCCATGGTGCTGAAGGGTTGGCCACCGGCTGCAGTAGACTGAGGGTTTTCCCCTGCCTGCGTTTAGTGGCAGTGCAAATGGGGCAGCTTGCTGCATAACTTTCTATGTTCTTTTTTAATGAGGGCCACCAGTATTGACGTTTCAATAAATGTAATGTTTTTACAAAACCAATGACCAGCTAATTTGGAGTCGTGACAAGCTTGCATAGTCATCAGCCTTTCCCTAGCTGGTTTTTCCCTCCCAGTAAATACTTCAAAGTGAAATTAAAACGTTGGAAATACTGAATACAGAAACTTCATATACAGATCACTCCATTCTTCCCACCAAAATTGCCAGCATCCCTGTAGAAATATCTGGGACCTGACAAGTAGCATCCCAATGATCATGGGGTCAAAATTCAGATGCTTGGTAACTTGATTCATACCTACGACCGTTGCTTTTTCCCAAGGTCATGTGATCCCTTTTGCAACCTTTTGATAAGGAATATCAATGGAGCAGCCAGATTCACGTAACAACCATGTTACCAACTTATCAATTGCAGTGATTCACTTAACAACTGTGGCAGGAAAGGTTGTAAAATGGGGCAAAAATCATTTAACATGTGTCTCACTTAACAGAAATTTTGCCTCAATTGTGGACCATAATTGGGACCCAAACCTCTGCTACTAAGCAAGGGGGTTGATAACTGAGTCGCACCTGATTTTACCACCTTTTTTGCCTCAGTTGTTGAGCGAATCATTGCAGTTGTTAAGTGAATCACATCACTAAGCGAATCAGACTACCTCACCCCACCATTGTATTTGTCAGAAGCCAGCTGGGAAGGTTGCAAATGGTGATCATTTGACCCTGAGATTCTGCAAATTGCAGGGATGCTGCAATGTTCATAAGTGCAAGGACGGGTCATAAGTCACTTTTTTCAGTGCCATTGTTACATGAACAGTCACTAAATGAATGGTTGTAAGTCAAGGACTGTCTATATGGTGGAAAAAGAGGGTAAAGATGGAAGAGGACTGGAGGAGAGTATAAGCAAAATAAGGTAAAGCACTAATGTAAGCAATGGAGAAGAATACATTAGTGCCACTCCATTTGTTGACCAAAGGCCGACTGGACTGAATGTTGAGTTTTTCTTTAACACTAATGATACAACAGCATCTTCAACTACAGGTAGTCCTTGACTTACATCCATTCATTTAGGGACTAAAGTTACAACAGCACTGAAGAAACGGGAGTTATGACCATTTTTTATACTTATGACTGTTGCAGCATCCCTGTGGTCACATAATCACAATTCAGGTGCTTGGCAACTGACTCATATTTATGACAGTTGCAAGTGTCCTGGGGTCATGTGATCACCTCTTGCAACCTTCTGACAAGGAAAGTCAAATGAGGAAGCCAGTTTCACTTAACAACTATGTTACTAGTTGTCCCCTTCGGGGGAAAAGAGCGGCATATAAATAAAATAAACATTCAACATTCATTCATACTAATTTGACAACTGTAGTGATTCACTTAACCACTGGTCATAAAATGGGTAAAGCTTGCTTAACAACTGTCTTAATTAGCAACAGAAAATTTGACCCTAAGTCAACTAGCTGTGCCTCAAGCCGCTGACGAGCTTAAAGGGAGATGGCCTGCAGCTTTCTTCCTTCAGAGCCTTTTTACCATCCTTCGATCCAGGCAACAGTGCCATTCTGCTACATGAGAGTGGGGCTGATTCTGTCGTGGTGCAGAGCATGAGTGAACTTTGAATTGAGGCCTTTCACATTGGGAGAGTGTAATAGAATGTAGTCCAGATGCCAGGGAGGGAGGGAGTGCAAAAGATGAACAAAAGAGTTTATATAGTGCAGTGTTGGCGAACCTTTTCAGCACTAAGTGCCAAAACGGGAGCGTGTGTGCAGGGGATTGCCAGAAACCGGAAGACCAGGTGACCAGCGCACACGTGCGAGAGCACCGGAAACTGGAAGAGCAGTTCCCCAGCAGTTCCCCAGCACGCATGTGCGCACCAGGAAGCTGAGCTTCTAGTTTTCGGCATGTGCATGCATGCCAGTGGTGGGTTCTGGACCCCATTGCAACCGGTACGGTGCAACGGGGCCGGCCACCCACCGTGTGCACGTGCGAATGCGTACCCACTGCCCGTGACGCTCCAGCTGCTTAGCGGAGCATCGCGCAGGCACCATACGCTCCATGCATGTGCGCAAATGCCCCGATCAGCTCAAATAGCGGTAAGGAGGGCGGGCGGGTGGGCCCTCCAGAGCACCGTACCAGAACAGTACCTGGTGCTCCCAGCAGGCACTGGTACGCCCGTACCAGGGCGTACCGGTCATATCCCATCACTGATGCACGCTGGTCACCTGGTCTTCCAGTTTCTGGCACGCATCCATGCGCAAAGACCAGTTGGCCAGTGCACATGTGAACACCAGAATCCAGAACAGCAACGGGCAACAGCTCATGTGCCCAGAGAGATGGCTCTGTGTGCCACTTCTGGCACGTGTGTCACAGGTTCACCATCATGGATATAGTGTGTGTGTGAGGAAGAGGGTGAAAACAACTGCTTCCTAATAGCTCTCAGAGTATGGAGAGTCCTTGGCTTACAACCACAATTGAGATCAAAACTTCAGTGATTAAGCAAGGCATTATTACTGAGTTGGGCCTGATTTTACAAACTTTTTTCCCTGGTGGTAAAGTGAATTCTTGTAGTTAAGTGAATCATGAAGTCATAAAGCAAATCTGGCTTCCCCCATTGACTTTGTTTGTCAGAAGCCGTCTGGAAGGTTACCAAGGGTGATCACATGGCCTTGGAACAGTGCAACTGTCATAAATACATGCCAGTTGCCAAGGGTCCGAATTTTGATCATGTGACCCATGGACATGCTGCAGCAGTTGTAAGTGTGAAAACTCGTCATAAGTCACTTTTTTCTGTGCTTTGTAACTTGGAATGGTCGTTAAATAAATTGTTGTAAATTGACAACTACCTGTATGTACTTCATGGTGCAAGTAGCCTGCTTTAGTTTGGCAAGATTCCTCTCTGGGGTTGAGGAACAATAAAGGAAACTGCTTAGAAGAACCTCAATCCATCTTTCATGGCCTTCAGAGCCTGACGGACAGTAAGTGAGTCTAATCTGGAGATGCCCACTAGTTTCCATGCAATAGAGGCACCGTCTTAGCGCATCTAGAAAACTTTTCCCTTCTCTTCTCTCCACGCAGGCCGTCCAAAGCGTCGCAAAGTCTGGAGCCTTTACAATAAGCCCCAGGAATCACCCAGTTTCGCAGAGGCTCCAACCATTCGCTGTCACACCACAGACTGGTCCCAGCTTCAAGGAGTGATCAGTTCAGATGGGGAAAGCAGTTAACTCTGAGCTTCTTTGGAGAAGAAAAAGGGGTTTAACTCATCAAACAGCCACAAGGGAACCTCTTTTATACTTAATCTTTCCCCCCCTTCTGTTCAGAATGCAAAGAAAATAAATTCCTGATACGTTATCCTTATTTATTTATTTTTATTGCATTTTCCCTGGGCAAAGGAAGAACAGATGTACCTCAGCTGAAAGCAAATTTTCTGAAGATGGACACAGAAGGAAACCCATTTTTTTTCTTTTAATATCCTCAAGTTTTGACAACGTTGCCATAACATCATTTTTGAACTATCTACATTGTGACCACTTTCTTCAAGCGTAGACATTCCTCAGCAGGAATATAAAAGACTGTTGTTTGAATTGGGACTTGTTTCATTTTCATTCCATGTAAAAATGGAGAGTATCATTTCCTTAATACATTTATGAGGCATTCCTCCCATTTTGGGGGATGGGGAGTTTTCTGAAGATTGACTCTTGTTCTGGGCTAGATTTCATGTGCCTATTGTTATGTGATCTGATTCACTATCTCTGTACATGTCACATTTTTTTGAGATTGTATGAAAACAAAGGTTTATATTTCTTAAATAAAATTTGTTTTGGACTTTAACTTGAGAGTTCATATTTTCACCTAGAGTCCTAGACCCTTCTGCATGTACTAGCTTCATATTTTTTACAAAAGCAACAAAAATGATTAGGGAACTGGAGACAAAAACATACAGTGAATGGTTAACAGAAATAGGTATTTCTAGTCAAATGAAGAGAAGGACTAGGGCTGACATGATGGCTGTCTTTCAGTTCTTGGGCTGTCACAGAGAAGGGGCTGGCCTCCAAAGTACCTGGGCAGGACAAGAAGTAACAGGTGGAAACTTATCAAAGAGAGATCCAATCTGGGACTAAGGAGAAATTTCCTGTCAGTGAAAACAGTCAGTGGAACGGCTTACCTACAGAAGTTGTGGGTGCTCCATCACTGGAGGTCTTCAAGAAAAAATTGAATATCCATTTTCAGCATCATTGTCAGGTTCTGAAGGGTTAAGGAAAACAGCCAAACACAGAGACGATTTGAAAATGTTTATCTTCCTCTGGCACGAACTGACGAGCAAAGCACTAAGGCAATGAATAAATTGTCAGAGCTGACATCTGGTGCTCCCCACCACCTTTTATAATTTATTTGGTAACTAGGTTAAACCCCACCCATGCACGCACGCGCACCCATCACCTCGTGACCCAGAGTGAAAACCACCCGGCAATCAGTTATGGATTGTTCTCAGTCAGTTATTAGTTGTGGAGAGTTCTCACTAGAAATCACCCGGCAGTCAGTCATGTAGAATTATGGAGAGTTCTCAGCTAGATTGCTTGTGAAGGAGGGAGATCTCCAGCTGGTAAGCACGATTCTTGGCAGCTCCCCCTGCCCGAATGGCAGATCTGGGCCTGTGGGCTCACCGGAGCTGACATGCGGCCCCTCTACCACAGAGACAGCATCTGGGGAGATAAAAACTAGTCAGTTAGGAGCCTTAGGGTTAGGGTCCCCCCCCCCCAGTTTTGTGGGATGTCTGCGGTGGAATCTCGCTACCAGGCAGGATGCCCTGCAGTCCTTACTATGAACCCATGATGGGGCTGAGTTTCTTACATGGCAAAGGCAGCCTGAGATATTTAGTGGAGAGGTATACCCTCTGGCCAAAGTGGAAAGGTCTTTGTGCCTTCCGCCTTTTATTGGTTTTCTTTTTATATGTGGCGAAAGAGAGACGTAACGCATCTGTCACCACTTTCCAAACCTTTTGCATCCGGGCTATCCACTCCTGTGAAGTCATGTCATCTGGGTGCAATTGGGGACACTCTGGAATTGGGACAAACTCCCCGCCCCCCTGTAGCGACGTGGAATGGGGTAAACCCTGTACTTTTGTGGACTGCATTGTTCTATGCAACTTCGGCAAAGGGAAGGAGTTCAGCCCAATCGGTCTGTTGGTACTGAACATATCACCTTAAGTATCGCTCCACCATTGCGTTTGCTCTCTTCGTGGCACCATTGGTTGTGGGGTGGAAGACTACTACCATATTTTTCGGAGTATAAGACGCACCTTTTCCCCTCAAAATAGAGGGTGAAAATCTGGGTGCGTCTTATACACTGAATTTTTGGCCTCCCAAAACCCCGCCCCCCTTTGCAAAAAATGGCCGTGCATAGCCTATGGGAGGCTTCCAGAGTGAACCTGGGGGCTGGGGAGGGCAAAAATGAGCAAAAATCAGGCCTTTTTT